CCAAAATCACTCAAAAGGCCTTAGATCTTCACTCACACGATTGGGGTTCGCTATGGGGGTCTTCTGGGAGCAAATGGGACGATAGGTGACTGAATGAGATGTTTAAATAGGGTGTAAACCCTCATATTAGGGTTTTTGTCCAGCTAGGGCCTACTCGTCGAGTCCGGGACCCAATTCACCGAGTTCATCACTTAAATACCGCATCCCGTCGCACTTCTACTCGGTGAGTTGGTCCTTCAACTCACCGAGTCCAAGGCCAAAAATACAAAACACTTAGATAAAAATAAAAAGAATTACGTACCAATAACCAGGTGCTACATGGATTTTGTGTAGTTATGAATTTCACACCTGCAATTTAATGGGTTGGTTTTATGAAAATGATTAAGATGGGATTTTTTTTCATATCCGAATGCAAACACCTACTAATTCTACGAGAATATAAATATTACATAAAACATGTGTTACTAGTAATTCTGACAGAATAAATTTATACATTATATGCTTTAGAATGTTTATATATATAGAAATACGATTGCAAATGGCAAATCACATGCTTTTAATTCTTTATAGTGGCATGTAAAGTTATAACTACCAGAGTTTATTTTATGTATTCTGTGAGAATGTATTCTATGTATTATTCAAGATTGTATTTTATATATTCTACCATAATATATTATGTCAGAATGTATAAATTGATAAGAATTGCAAGAAACATGGTTTTAACCATTCTTAGTTTTTGTTGCATTTGTGATAGGAATTGTCGGAAGAATGGCTTAAAGACCTGATAAGAATGATTTGAAGAAATGATTCAAAGATTGATCACACTCACAGTTTAAGAATGTTCTTATTTTTTAAGAATTACACTTGTAGTTATTCATTAATTGTATATTTAAGAATCCTGTTTTTTATGATATTCTTTTAGAATATGTATTAATATATTAAAATGTATAAGGCTATTAGTATGTAAGAATATGTATGAATTTGTATTTAAGTTCGAATGTATATGAAAATAATAAAATGTTGTTATTGTTCAACTGGGAGTTCAAGAATTATATTATTTTTCATTAATATTCTAATAGAAAAAAATTCTGAAATAACATCAATCTAACAAAAAAAACATTCTGACGAAATAAAATTGGTTATGTTTTCAAATCATGTTTAGAATTAAATTGAATTAATTTTAAAAAATTCAGATTTTTAAAATTAGGAGAATTAATTATCCCTAAAAATCTGAAAATTTCCTTTTTTAAATATAGTTAATTGTCCAAACTACCCTAATGTTGAAATTCGTGTGATTATATGGTACATGTTACCCTATTGTAATATCATAGACCCTCAGATCATGATTATTGATTTTATTCCATCAGTGGTCCAGATCTGTGCATTCTAGTACTCGATAATTGGTAAAAACAAAATAACCTAAGTATATATATATATATATATATATATATATATATATATATATATATATATATATATATATATATATATATATATATATATATATATATATAAAGCAAAAGGTAAAAATATAACCTTAACTAAGATCGATTAAGCTTACCAACTTTACCAACCAAGCATTCTAATACTCAAGTCAAGGTCGAAATAGTCGAGTAGCTAGTGCTCGGGCTAGACTCAATTTGAATTAAGTCGATTTCACATATATATCAAGTCATTCTCAATTATGTTATGATTTGGCTCGACTCAATTGCGAGGAAGTTACATGCAGAGAAAAAAAGACTCAACAGGCAAACAATATGAAGTTTTAAAACAAAATATCCAAGATTAAGAAGCATATGGATGGGATCGACTATAGAGTCAACTATGAGGATTAATTTAATTTGTTGACATATCAAGGAGATATCAAGAAACTTTAAACTATATTTTTCGCTTAAAAGGAAAATTTTGATAAGGTGGAGGGGTCAGAACTCTCAATTTGTTAAAAATATTATTCGTCTAATATGTATCATAGGGATTCATATATAAGTACTTTCAAAGTTCTAGAAAATTGTATTTTTAAGGTCATTATAGAGGTTTTCACTGTGCAATTGGCTTTCATTAAAGGTCTATTAGGTCCAAGGTTCCAAATAACGTAAAGCATGATTTGGCGGCAAAATCAAGTTTCAAGCTTTTTTGAGTCGTGGCGAACCATGTTGTTTGTAAAACATAACTTAAGGCGGTAATTTTGTATATAATTAATAATTTTATATGTATTTTCTACTAATATTCATTTTTAAATACATATATGACTTAAGACGATATTTTGTTAAAGCTAGGCAGCAAGTATAAACCTTTGAGCCATAGCACGCCATGACATAGCCATGGCGAGCTTTTTAGATTATTGATTAGGTCCTTTAATGTTGAATTAAGTAAAAACTTATGGTTTTTAAAGTGGACTTCTAGAAGGTTCATTTTATTGGAAATATATGAATGATATTTTTTTCGATTAAATGGAAAAAAGACAAATAAGTAAATGATTAATGTCTTGACCTGTTAAGTCTATTTTTTAAGTCATTAAATCATAGGAATATGATTTATTAAATTATTAACTTTTCGGTTTGTTCACATTTGGATAACTATTTTTTTTTTTTGTACACATCTAGGTAACGAACTTTTTGAAAATGTTCACATATGACCTGCTGTAGCAAGTTACATCCGGTTATAATAGCCATATGTGAACACTTTCAACAAGTTCGTTACCTAGATGTGAACAAAATAAATAGTTATCCAAATATAAACAAAACGAAAAGTAAAAGTAAATTACACGAATGGTCTCTGTGGTTTAGGGGAATTTGTGTGTTTAGTGTCTAACTTATTTTTTTTAACCCGGATGGCCCATACTGCTTATTTTTGTTGCCCGTTGGGTCTCTATCTTATCTAAAAGTACTATTGTGCCCCTATTAATTAATTTCCTTATTTATATATTTATTTTTTATATATTTAAAAAAAAAAAAAAAAAAAAAAAACCCTCATATATTTGTATCTTCTCACCGTAAATCTGAAACTACATTTGAGAAAGTTAATATGGGTCTCACCGGTCACCATCTCATCTCTCATCCTCTCAAACTTTTATTTTCTTTCCATCTTTAGTGACATCGACGTCTTCACCATCCTTTCTTTTTTCGGTTCTTCAACTCTGGGGAACCAACACCATAAAAGTTGGAAAGGAAATAGAAGTTGTGGTGGTGGAAAATTCGATGAAGAGACAGTGGGTTGTGGTGTTGGTTCGCTCGTCAGAGTTAAAGGACCGAAAAAAGAATGGATGGTGAAGACGTCGATGCCACGAAAGATGGACAGAAAATAAAAGTTGGGGATAATGAGAGATGGATGGTAACCGTTGGGACCCAAATTAAATTTCTCAAATGTAGTTTCAGGTTTAGGGTGAAGAGATACAGATATATGGGGTTTATTAATATTTTAAAATATATATAAAAAATAAATATATAAATAAGAAAATTAATTAAAAAGTTAATTAATAATGGCATAATAATCTTTTTAGATAAGACAATGACAAAACGCACAACAAAAAAAAACAGTATTTACTCTTACTTTTCGTTTTGTTCGTATTTGGGTAACTATTTTCTTTATACACATCTAGGTATGGATGAGCATTTGGACCGGGGAACCGGAACCGGATAGAACCATTCGGGCCGGGACCGGGACGATATTCTTGTGGATTTTTGGAACCGGGAACCGGTAGAACCGGCAAAAACCGAAACTATTTGTTGCTATTTCTTGAGGATCAGTTCTAACATTAAAGACATGGCAAGAATCGGTTGGAACCGGGAATCGGTAGAACCGGTGGTCCGGTTCGGTTCTTAATTTCGGTCGACTTCGGTTCCTGGACCGGGTCCGATTCGGATCGGTTCCAGTCAGGTCGGTTTCTTTTGCTCATCCCTACATCTTGGTAAAGAACTTGTTGAAATTGTTCACATATAACCATTATGACCGGATATAATCTGCTACAGCATTTCGTAAGGATCATATGTGAACACTTTCAAAAAGTTCGCTACCTAAATGTATAAAAAAAAAACAATTGTTACCTAGACGTGAACAATAAAAAGTTAATTAACTTAATAAGTTATATTTTTAAATCATTATGTTCATATAGAGTGAAATGAAGCAGACATATATATATTTCATATTAAATATTTAACATGTTAAACTTAATAAATAAATAAATTGAAAAAAAAATATAATATTATAACTGTTCAACCAGTTTACATATTAAATGTTTTCAACCATTAAACTTACTATAAAAACAAAATAATAATAATAATAATAATAATAATAATAACCCAATATATAACTATCCAACCACTTTATCAACACCACAACCACTTAACGGAGAAGAAAAAACAACCCATTTACTTTCATTCAACGATATAATATTACGTTAATCACTCTCACCAAAACAGATGTTACAACACAAAATGATCATATTTTATAAATAATCATTAATTTCACAGAATTACTTTAATTTAACCGAGTGATCCCCCTACAAAAAAAAAATAAATAAATAAAATAATAAAATAAAATCCTACTTACTAGTTATTCGCAAAATAGGTATTTTCACAAAAGAAAATCACCTTTCGCAAAATTGTCCATATTTTGTGATATATTTAGGGAAAATGACACATACGCCCTATAAAGTTTCTAGGGTCGATCCTTTTAGTCACTTAAGTTTTTCCGTGGCTTTATGAGGAAATCAAGTTGTAGGCAACCTGTCTTTTTAGTCTCTTTTACTTGTTTTAGCCGGTTTAAGGGAAACATAGATAAAAATTGGGCCCACCCATCTCTCTCTCTCAATTGAATAATTGTTACCTAGAAACCAATCACCACCCGTATTTTCCTTTGTTCAACAATAATTTGTTTAGGTATCAGATTGAATAATTGTCTTCATTAAATCGCTAATATATACAAAATGGGGGGCCTTCGTCTTCATTAGATTTGGAAGGGAAATTGATTCGGATGGAAACAGGAAACGATGGGGTGATTGTTTATGGCTGATCAGCGAGCACCGGTTGAGGAAGGAAGACGGAAATAATAGGTGGTTGCAGTCTGTCTCCATCTTCAACGATCGGGTAAGGAATGTATTGTCGAAGTCGCAAGGAAACTCTGATGTTGGCTGGCAATCGAGAGAAGGGGAGGGCATTAATCTTCGGCGATGGCTGGGAGGACATGAGGAGGGGTGTCGACACTCCAGGGCTGCTCCGGCAACTTCCTTCTTCTTCTTGTCCGACCGACTACAACACAAGAAGGGAAGGAAGGTTCATCGGAAATTGAACAACAACAAATGAGGGGTGGTTATGAGGAGTTCGATCAATCAAGGAGGAAGAAAATCAAAATAATGGTGGATTTCGGTCCGGTGGCGGCAAATCTATTAAAGGGGATGAAGCTCATTTTTTTGGTGGTACCCTTAACATTCTTGATTTCGTCGCCAGCGACCACAGATCAAGGGGAAGGAGCTGAAGGCGGTGACAGGCTCGATGATGGTTGAAGCATCGAAGGTGATGACGATATGGATGCTCCGGTAATCCTCTCGACTGTTTTCCTTTCTTGTTGTTAATTGTGGATGTGAGTAGCTCACGAAGTGATCAGGGGGAGTTTGGGTGGATCTTCAATCGTTATTCTCTGGGGAGGGGCTGCCATCGCCGATGAGTGTGTGTGTGTGTGTGAGAGAGAGAGAGAGAGTGAGTGATTTAGATGTCATGGGACGTTTTAATTTTTTTAATTTATTAAAATAGAAAAATAAGTGACCTGGCATAGGGGTAACCGGGTTACCCCTTCATTTTCTCAAAAAGGACGTATTGGACCCGACAAACCAAATTTGTTCCCTTAAAACGCCACTTAAAAAGTTAAGTGACTAAAAAAGTAAATCATAAAAACTTCATAGAGCGGATGTGTCATTTTCCCATATATTTACTCATGCTTATTCTCCAAAATTCTTCATATTTTCCCAAAATCTTAAAACTCATGTACTTACTATTTTAAGCACTATATACTTCAGTTTTCTATTCAAACGATATTAAATTATGCTATGCTATGTTATATATATTCATTATGCACATCATGCACTTACTTTACCAGTTGCAATTAATCAGAATCATAGGCTACATATATATATTTCCTTCCATTAAAAGCTAGAGTACCCAAATGGAGCTTCTAATCAATGTCAACTTTCCTTCAAGTACAATATTTTTTTTTTCTATACACAAAACGTTTTTCAAACAACAGGGACCTTATTACCTTTTATTCCCTCAGAAAATGACACGTGGGGCCCAATTGGAAATTTGGATTTTGAAATCTTTGAATTATTAGCTTCTCGTGGATATGGATAAGTGGATGCCAATTCTCTCACACGACATAAAATCGATTTTGGCAATGGACGCCATGGCTGACTCCTTTTTTGCTCATCCTGCCATTAAAACAAACTTCCCATTCAGTTATAATCATCATAATTCAAAATTAAAAACCATAAAGATTAATTGCATTCAAATAATACAAGATTAACCAACCTCTATCCTGCTTCCCTTTAGTGCACGACTTGCTTTCAAAAGATTTCGCCATTTGTCCTGTGAAATATATATAAAGAGGACATTTTTTCATAAAGGGTAGTGTTGGAATTACATAAAGATTACGATAGAGGAAGAAAGGTGGCACCTTTAGATCTACAGGCGTTCTATGAACAGATGTTGAAAAGAGTAGTTTCTTGATATGCGTCCATTTTCCTACCCCAAAATGAGCAACACCATCAATCAATTTCTTTACTTCTGAAACAGTCCACAGTCTATGAAGCTTTCTCTGATTGCCACCTGTCATTGATCTCATCATCTGAGTCTCAGAATCATCTCCAGACCCACTTGAATAACTCTCAATCTGATTTTCCGTCTGTTCAAGATATAAAATTTATCACAAACCGAAGAATTTTTTTTTTTTTGTTTGTTTTATAAAAAAGGTTGAGGGGTATTTGTGTAATTTACCATAGTTGGAGGACTGATTTTTTGACATTCTGTTGGGCATTGAGAGATAAAAGGTACTTGAATGGCTTTACCAAAAGAGATTTCAGAAGATTGGATGTTTTCTTTAGGTTTGATCTCGTTTTGACTTTTGACACGTCGAACGGTTGACATTTTGACTTTAGACATTGAAGAAGGCTCTTTTCTCTTCTTACAATTCTTTAGAGTCAAATTGGATGACTCATCGATGTATCTTTTTGTGGGCTTTCTTGATCTTTTGTGTGTGATTCCACCAACACCATGTTCTTGAGCGGAATTCGCAAGTAAATCTTGACGAAAAGGGGTCAATTCCATTCCGGTTTGTGCAAACTGGAGTGGGAGATTCCCTTCGTCATCTTCCTCGTCTATGAATGATTTTGAAAAATCTTCAAATTTATCTACGGTTTTCGACTCGGTTCCAAAAATGTTGCCAAGGAAGTAATTCTGGCATTCGGACTCTGGAATGGAATCCGTCAATGAATTTTGTATTCCGAAATTGCCCTTGTTGCGGAACATTGGAAACGGCGATTCCGAGCTAGAGTTTCCGACATGCAAAGGTTCATTGGAAACATAGTCTATACATGCACCATGGTCAACGTATCCAATATCTGTAGTCAACATGTAAACATATAATAACATTATAATGTGATATGATTTTATTTAGGTAAAAAAAAGAAAAAAGAGAAGAGTATGAAGAATCACCTATGAGATAATCATCACAAGGAGAGATTCCATTTGATGTTAAGAGATTTTCTACTCCAACTTCATGTGGTAAAACATCAAGTGCCTACAAATATGCTATATTTCATAAAGATAAATACAACAAATATGAGAAAAATAAACATTATAAAACTAAAAGGCCATTAAAACCCAAAGCTCCCATAATTTGATTGATCCAATGGCATGTATGCATTGTTATATGAATTTTTATATTATATGTAAATACATCGCGTAGTTTATATATTACTTTAATTATAATTATAGAATTTGTTATTAACAAAACAAAAAATAAATAAATAAACATTATAAAAGGCCATTAAAACCCAAATAAGTTCTAATAAAAGAAATATTTTCTTCTTATTTTTTAGAAAATGAGAATTATAATAGGTTGATCATTGGAATAAAATTATGTGGTCAAACTATTGACAAATATATATTGTTAAAAAAAATTAATTCATTGTCATTAACTAATAAATTTGTAATTTTTCTACTAAATTAAAAAACTGATATAAGATATTGTCATTTTCTTGGACCATGTGATAAAAGAAAAGGGTGTTAGAATAGGTACTTATATTGGACCACATGATCTCAATCCCCTCTACACATAGATTTTTAATTATTATTATAGTTAAATGATTTAAAAAATAAAAACTACTATGTTTGATCATTTTCAATCTCGATCATAATAGTTGTTTTCAAATACAAACCATTATTTCCAATCTAACCTTATAGAGTTTTTAGTTAAATGTAATTTTTTTTATTTAACATTATTTTTATCTATTACTATTGTTATTTAAGTTAAAAACTAGTAATTTGGACATTTTTTAATTATTTTTAAAAATAGCCTTCAGACAATTTTTTAGTTTATTTGACATATAACATCATATTTAAATTAACAAATTAAGTATACTTACTAATTGGTTACATATTAAGAAATTAAGATGCTACCTCTTAAAATTCAGAATTTTATTTTAAGTTTCAAAGTTAAACACTTCAGATTTAAAGAAAAAGCCTCATAAAAATTAAAATTTGATGCTAAATAATAATATGTTGGAATCAATTCACTACTATCCAACCTTATGATTTCTAATAACAGATAAACCTGTATGTAGATAAATAGATAACAAGATAATAAATAACAGATAATAATTAGATTATCACCTTTCAACTGTTAGCAAAACTGGTTAATATATTACAATTCTTTAACAAATGGAAGGAATTTGGTGCCTTTAGGAAAGGTCCATTCCATTCCTTCTGGCAATGCAAACAGCCTTTTCAGTTCCATGGAATGGACCATTCCATTCCTTCTCTAATTCAGTCATACCAAACACTACCAGAATGCTATATGATCTCTTTGTTATTATTTACTAATAAAAAAATAGCTTGAGAAAAAGTTATTAGCCACCTAAAAGTTATAGTTGTTGGATGTAACCATTAAAGAGTCAAATAGTCAATCATATATAATTTAAGCCACATCCACTTTTCCACATACATATAAAATTGTCTTTAAGGACAAAAATCATATATTGAACAAAAATAATGACCAATATGTGTAAGTCCTGCTTAATCATGAAATAATAATCACTTTTATTGACAAACAAGAACCAAAGTAACAAAATAACAAGATATGCAAAAAAAAAAATTAAAAATGTTTAGTTGAGATGGGGTAGAAGACTTACATTAAGCTTTGTTGTATCTACACCTTCCATGTTTATATTTGAATCTGGGACACCTTCACAAGATGTAAAAAAAGTAACTTTCATCAAAAACACATTACATTAGTCAAATGTCTAAAATACCCTTCAGTAATGACTAAACAAGACAAAAACTTGTGAACCAAAATTAATAGTCTCAAGATTTTGTACGAATGAACTTGAAAACAATCGAATATGAAAATTTAGCTCAACAACTTTGAAAAGTTGCCATAAATATAGAACAACCCAACCCTTATTAGAAATTGTTGCAATTTAAATGGGACAAAAGGGGTAGAAGTTAACACTATTTAGTATTTACAAACATAATTTACCTAAATTGTAAGAAGCATCTTCAGTTTTTATGCATTTCCCAATATTATCTTCTTCAAAACACCAACTACTTACTGAAACTTGGTCAGACCGAGGTTCCACAAGTAGACAATCAACATCGATTGCTTCTTCCTCTAAAGAATGATATAAAGATTCTTCTTCAACCTATGAAAAATAACAACATAGTAAGAAAAATACATCGTAGTAAAAGAAATAGCGTATTAACAAGAAATAGCCCATGGTCGTATAAAATTGAAGCGAAATCATTGTAATTCACGAGTGTTTCACTAATTTTGTAATAATAAACCCACATTCCTTACAGGCTACAGCATTTCGGTAAATTAGTATATCAGAACATATTATTGCAGTTCACAATATTAACAATCACTCCCTGATTGCATAAAATTACTAAATAAAGAAAGAATCGAAAGCATAGATTGCAAGAAGTTAGCAGTAAATACTAGAAAAATTGGGTAAAATATACATTAAAAAGCCCTCGTAGAAACATCAACAGATGCCCATAAAAGTCTCGAACATTATAAATACTACATTTCACACTAGGAAACTTAGAAAATGCCCATGAGAGTGTCAAACAAAAATCTGTTGTCAAAATCCTCAAATTTAATCAAAAAGAGAACTAAACACAAACACAATGATTTCAAGAATCACATGCATACACTGGAGAAAATCTAGAGTAAATACAAAAATGCGAAAATTCAAGACTATAATTCCCACAAAAACCCAAATGGAGGACCATTTACAGATGCCCATTAAAGTGAGAAGCAGAAACCCCATTATCAAAAGCCTCGAATCAAATTCCATGAAGTGATAATGCAAGTAGACAAAAACTGACCTGATTCATCAGTACGATCAGAAGGAAACACGCGATGAACTCACTCTACTGAAAAGAAAAGCTCCGATCGACCGAATTCCTTCATAGGATTCTCGAATGTGACAAAAAAAACAACGCACAGAGGATTGTGAGAATGTGAGAAAAGGGGGAGTGAGATTATTATTGGACGGAATCGAAATGTCTTGTAGGAAATCAGAATGGAATTTGTATTTGGAATCCGGGTGTGGCGACGCGTGTGGAATCAAACGGACAACGACCACCGTTTTGCGCTCCAGCTGCTTTCATCGCTTATTTAAAGAAGCAGCAACAGCAACCAATGGATTATGACAGCTGTCTATTTGGTCCCACTTTTGATTTTAATGTTATTATAGAAAAAATGGTTTTTTAGCCGTAGGTTTAATCAAAAATTTTCCTTTTGGGACAAATTAGTTTATTTATGAAAGATGGTGATAAGTCAATCATTAATGTCTTAACACAAAAATTAGAAATAAGTTTGTTTACAACAAGATTCCTAAACCACTAATGGGAATTTAGTTACATAAGTACATAATAATGTAAATATCATTTGAGTTTTACTAATTATATTATTATTAATATTTTATTTATTTTGGAAAAAAACTTTTCTAATGTAGGTTTTCGAGTAAACTTTTATACATTCTCCACTACAAGCATAAGATTATATCTCATGTTCAAGAGTCCTTGCAACTCCTTGTAGGAAAACATATATGACCACATGGACGGAGCAGTATCAAGATTTTAACTAGTATAAATTAGTAGAATAGAATAAAAATTAATTTAATGAAAAACAGTGATATATGTCTAATGTTATTAATATAGGATAATGTCAATGTAGGTCAACCAACTTTTAGGTTTTTGTTTTAAAAGACAATTTATGTTTTTTTTTTTTTTTTGGTATTCTGCATCCCTAAATTATTATTTACCTGTTAAAATCAGAAATGATCCCTTTTGCTTCCGATTCCACCGGTTACAGTTAATCAATCTTTTTTAGAACTAGGTATATTAGAAATTACCAATTCTATATGGCTTTTTTTATCTAGGCGTGTTTAAAAGGGAAAAAACCCCTAATATCCTAACCCTATTATACCTTTCACAAGGGTCGGTCTTCTCCACAGCCACCACTTCTACAAAATTCAACACAATAATCATCCACCACAACTCTTTGCATCATCTTAACCATCACCATCACCACCTTCCTCTTTCTCCTTTTCTTCATTTCCCTATTCTCATCCCTACCACCATCGTTGTCGTTCTCCACCCAATACTTCATCCGACTCCTTTTGTCTATCTACCATCCGAGAAACCAATCTCTTCTTCATCTTGATCGTATTGCCCTAAAAAAAGAACGCGTCTTTTTAGCCTTACTCATTCAATCAATTTTGGTGTGTTAGACGCACAAAATGTTAATGTTATAGGGAAATCTCATATATTTTCTCCTAAAGGATCCTCTTCTATTTCTTCTACTTTACATGGCGTTATTATTCTTGTTAAGCTTTGCCCTGGTCGAGATTGGTTTATTAATCTCTTTGTTGCTAATTACCCACTTGTTACTCAAGATGGTAATCTTCACTTTTGCATATTTTACTACAATTAGTTTGTTTCTAACCTCATTTTTGCATATTCTTGACTACTTAATATCATTGTTTGTTTCAAGTAAGATTTTCTTAGCAACTCACGATTTATACAATGAATGAGTTACATAAGTGATTATGTTAAATATTATCATTCTATATGGTCATAATTTGCTTTGGTGGTAGTGTTGGAAGGTGGAGAGTGGGTTGAAAGAGAAGGTGATAAGATGGGAAAACAAAGGTCAATGGCAACTTTTGATTTTGATGGTCAAAGTTCATGTAGATGAAGCGCCACTTGGACACAAACATTGTCAACTAAGATGGGTAACCAACTAACATTTTTACATTTGACATAGGGATGTTTTTTATACCGATTTTCATAGTTTTTAGAGTACAAAAAAAATACAAGAGGAATTTTTTAAACAAAAAATCAAGAGTTCGTTAGGCTACAATGACACTATCCTTATTTTTTATTTTTTATTTTTTTTAAAACGGCATTTATTAGAAAAAAAAAACAAACAAAAAGCTAGCAAGGAGCTAGCAAAAAGCAATTACAAGTTCATAGGGAGTTGAAGCCAAACATTCCAATCCATAGACATTTTACGGTTCCTAACACAATATCAATTAAAGGAATACAATTTAACGGTATCAACAAGAGTATCTTTTCGATACTTTTTAGTGTGAAAGATCATCGCATTTCTATAACCCCATAAGACCCATAACATATTCATAACAATTTCAAGAGTCTTCTCTTTCTGCATCTCTTGCATCGATAAAGCATCCAACCAATCATAAACCTCTTGTAGCAAACCAAACGAATACATATGTAAATCTGCCCACCCCGCAATTCAACTCCATAGTTGTTTCGCTAACTCACATTTAAAAAACACATGATTTTAATACTCCAAGTCCTTATCGCACATAGGACATCTAGTAGATGGAATATTAACCCCTCTAATCTCCAAATTAACCCGAGTAGGGAACCTATCCAAAGCAATCCTCCAAACCAAAACGTTCACTTTAATTGGCACAAACCTATTCCATCTATACAACACATGACCCATGGGAAGCAGAACATCATCTAAATGATTATGAAGATATCCAACAGTAAAATAATCCAAGTTACCTAACTCCCATCTCCAAGCATCCTTGTTGTTCGAACATTTTACTTGCTGTAACTCCTCCAATAACATTTGTAGTTTTTTTGCCTCAATTCCTCCCCTAATGTCCCTGTGCTATTCGCCAGTCCAGTAGTTGCTCACCTGAAACATCCCAAAAATCATGACCAAAAATTTCATTTTTAATCATTAAAGAAACCATAGATATCAAAATCATTTCATCCAAAAACATAAGTCATAGTATCAAATCAAAGTATCATATCAAAAAACATGTCAATATATCAGAGTAAAACATCCCCGGGCTAAACAAATGGTGTATGCACTGTAGTCATCCCGAGCTCTTCTCTTTGCAACTGGAAATACCTGAAACCAAAATTGAAAATAGTAAGTACCAAGCTTAGTGAATCTCCCCAAACTACCACATACCATACACATAATCACATAAATTGGGCCCCGCCCCTTCCTCTGGCCCCGCCCGGCATCAGACATAATCCAGCATCAAGCCCCGCCTAGCATCGAGCCCCGCTCAGTATATAGATTTGTTTCTCCCAAGCCCTGCCTATCACTGGACCCCATCCGCTATACACATACAGACAATAACATATAATCATGCTAGTACATAAAAAATCATGCACAATAATATATATTCTAGTCCTAAGGCCTTTCCTATCACGGGCCTCGCCCCTACTATGCTAATGATGAGATATGGAACCCCGTCCATTCTTAGCTAGTGATGAGATACAGGACCCCACCCACACTCACCTTCCTACCAGTCACATACAAGTATCATAAAGACAACAAGTATAACTAAACATGCATTCCTTCATCGGGCACCACCCGCCATCGAGCCATAGTTCGGAAACATACATGTAAACATTCCTCAGGCCCCGCCCGACATCAAACCGAAATCCAGAAGCATTCAAACATTCATCGGGATTTCCTCATAATCGAACCGAAGCCCGAAAACATATAAAACAAGCACATGCAAGAATCACAAATACATCAAGCATAAAACATTCCTCGGGCACCGTCTGGCATCGGATTAGAATCCGAAAACATAATAACCTACACCGGGCATTGCCCGGCATCGGACCTTAGTCCAGAACATACTAACATACATAAACGGGCTGACATTGGTGCCTTCGACCCATACCTACAAAAGAAAACTCACCTCACAAAGTTGACTGCAGAATCCCACAGATAAACCTCTAGCTGCTAGCTGGAAGATCCCCGAACTGCTGATCTCTCAACTTCCGAAGCTATTGATCATCATACAAGTTAGATAATTTTGGGATTCTCATAACTTAACCATAAGTCCATATTGGGGTAGAAGACCATTCTACCCCTCACATACTCTTGTCCCAAAATAAACTCTACCCAAACCTTGGCCCAATAGTCAACACTTCCACAAGGCCCAATATATGGCCCAATTTCCAATTGGGCCCAATCCCTTCACATGGGCCTCAACCTAAGTCCCAATAATGCTTCTCTAGTCCAAAAATCCAATTCAGATAGCCCACTAAAATCCAAGATACCAGCCCATAGAAAAGGTCCCAAACCAAGACCCAAACAATGCAAAGCCCAAATCTGATGAGTACGGCGGGCGTACTCCTCTGTACGCTAAGCGTATAGGTTGTATGGCTTATACGTTGCGCGTACTAGCTTGTACGCCCAACGTACTACCCTGTTAAGCCATATTCCTCAAAAGTGATTAATCCTTCAAGACCTTAAGTCCAAATTACATATATGGGTCCATTATCATGTCTTAACTTATAAAGTTGATTACTTGGTGGCTTGCAACCCGTCAAATGGACCCAAACTTAGAATATAGAAACTAACTTCCATGGAAATGGATAGAACTCATGCATGATCACAAAAGGACCTTAAATATCGAAACTTTACTACTAATAGGACTCATATAGCACTAAGGGTGGCAACCCTAATCCTAGATACGAAGTTGAACCATAAAAATGATGGGTTTTGGTCATAAAACATCCTATGTGCTCATACAAACCCTAATGCTTGGATCTAGGTTTCTCTATTGTACATGCTTTGAATCCAAGACTATAAACCCTAATTCTAGCATACAAGTAATCATATTAATATGTAATTAGGTTTAAGATCATACCTTGATTGTTATGTAGCAATAACAATCCCAATTCCACCTTGGATTGACTTTGGAATGCTTAGAGTCACAAGTGTCACTCCTCTAATGGCTCACAAACACCATAAGCAAATGGAGAAGGTATAAAGAGGGGAGGAGAGAGGTTAGAATTCGTATCTAGGACCTCTTAGGAAGGGATACACGAATTCATGACCCTGGGGGGTGTTTATATAGGTGTAGAGATAGGGTTTCAGTCATTATCCTTATCTAGTTGATTATCCATTAAGCAACCAATAAGATAATCCTTGAATCCTTATCATACTCGAATTCTAAGGCTTTCCAACCTTAAATTCGTCCACCATATAAATAAGATAATCCTTACCTTATTTTGTAACTATCACATAATTACAAATCAGCCCCTCTAGTTTAATTAATTACATTTGATCACAAAACTAATTCTTAATTAATTATTGACCAATATTAATTAAACAAATATGATTTCTCCTTTAATATATTATTCTTATAACATATTAATAAATCATATTATCCTCTCTCTCTCTTTATTCATTTCTCCAATCAAGTTGCTTTGGTGAAGGCAACCCAAAAGGACCATGCACCATCGGGTCAAGTACATACCAAAATAGTTATGGACTTAGACACTAATCCAACAGTCTCCCACTTGGATAAGTCTAACAACTATTCTGCGTATGACTTCAGATCCCGATCTGCAATCGTAGCTTTCCAAAGCCGCTGTCAACTCTGATCATATCAGATACGCGTGTCCTTAGATAAGGGATCATATATTCCTCCATTCTAGATATCGTATGAGATATGATTTCTAATCATTCTCTTTGTACTATATCTCAATTTCCGATTTATGACGACAGACTAACTGAACAAATCAAATTAGCCCTAGCCCGGCCGAGCATTTACGTATGTCATCACTAAACCATCGAGGGGCCCAAAGATATCGCTACCTTGGATAAAAGGAACGGATAAACTTTGATACAATGCTTGCTTGCACTCACTAACCAAATCACACACAACAATATGTTTTATAACACCAAGTTACTAGTGCGTTTACATATTATCAATGTGCAACCGATTAGCAAGATACAACTCACACATCTCGGTTTCAAGAATATAAGATGTTATCGTCTCACTAATCACTCGTGATACAATTCATGGAGTGATCCAAGTGAGCGTGGGTTTAATCCAATGCTCAAATCATATTCATAAGCACTCATGAACGTTGCAGCAAACATTTGCTTATGTCTAATACTCTTTTAGACAATCCACACACCAATTCACGACAGTCTTCATTCATATCTACTTCCAACATATGAACGACTGTGGCCCGTTTGAATAATTCGATTATTCTTAATAAACTCAATTATTCTGGAAGTCAAAACATGCAAGGTGAAACACAAGAATAATACTAATCCCATATGGCCTCAACCTTTGAGTATAAACAAAA